CTCCGTGTTCTTATTACTGCACTTCACCGTACTACCCAGCCAGTGTGTCTGAACTCAGAGGTGTGGGACTGTGGTAAAAATTTCTTAAACTTACTGAAGGAATTAATAGATTTCGGCATGATATAAAAATGAAGAAGAAGAAGAAGAAGAAGAAGAAGAATTATGCAAGTGTTTGTTTAATTTGAGAATGAGCAGTGGATAATTAAGAACAAGAATATTTGAATTGAAAGGGTATGCAAGAAAACAGAATGGAGCGAGGTGGATTAGTAGTGAAACGTGGGTGGCAAATACCGTAGACTTTTCCACATTTACCCACCACACTTGTTGATCCATTAAGATGATTTACTGTCTCAGTATCATTCTTACGTGTACCGCAACTTACCGTATATCTCCCTAAAAGTCAAATCAGTTTTATCATAACTTTCTTTATTTGCTTCATAATAAATAATACGTGAAGAAAAATTTATGCAAATATTGTAAATACATTAATCTTGCCTAATAACTCATTATGTAGCCCTCGAGTATTACATCAACTTTGATTAAAAATCGGATTATCCTCTTAATAGAGTTAAGACTTGAGTTAAGACTTGACGATGAAGGTGTTAATTTGTCGTACTGAAGAGGATTAAGGTATCATACTCACAGGTGGTAATTCACTGAACGTAAGCGGTTGTCATCTTACACAAGGGGTTAAAATCCACAAGTCCGTGAAATATTCACAAGTATTCTATGACGCATGATGTTATACTACTACTACTACTACTAATACTACTACTACTACTACTACTACTACTACTACTACTACTACTACTAATAATAATAATAATAATAATAATAATAAAGTAAATGCATAAATGAAGTGGATGAGTCAACAGAGAAAATTTTTTTCAGAAAGACAAATATTACTTTTTCGTACCTCGTATAGGAAAAATATCTTAACATCTTGCTACGAGGAGTGAGGGGAAAAAACTCAGGCAGAAAAGACATATGAACCTAGTGCCGACCAACACACTCGTCTATATAACTTAGCCTCAGTAAGCTTCTCTCTGGCGTCTCATCTCCTGACCTGACTTTTAATCCTACTACATTCTGACACTTAAACTTATAAATTCCTCCAAGGACCACAAATAAACTTAAAAGCCTGTAGCCTCAAGCGTCATTAGCGGGGGGGGGGGGTGCGTCAATTACACCCTACCAACATCGTATAAGACGCAGCAAGCTCATCTCTCTTGTTGACTCCCTGGCGAGTCGTCTTCACCAAGCGTCTTTAAAGTTATCTACCGACATATCTTGGAGAATCCTAAACTTCATACGATCTCTTATAGCGTGTTTCCTCCTCCACCCCCACCCACCCCACACACACCCCCCATCCCGTGTCCTCCTCCTCCTCCCCCCACACACACCCCATCCCCCACCTATGATATTAAGTGCGCAGTATACGAAAAGTTCTATTTGTGTGTCTTGTGAATAATTATAGTCTGGGTAAGCAATTTCTTGAGGTGGTTCAGGACGTGATATTTATGAATTCTGCTTTTTGTGTGAGTGTGTGTGTCATGAAACTCTGTCGCTGCTGCGCACTCTGTCAGGCACCAGCAACAAAATGACAAAAATAATGTTGTCGTGTTAAAATCATTCAATTCGTTGATGGTGTCACTGCCTATAGCTTAAACTTAACAAATGAATGTATTGACGCCTTTGGTATTACGGTTTAACTTAATCAGTACGATGAGCTAATCCCTTGAGTACGATGACCCAATCCCTCAACTACGAAGACTCAATACCGTGAGTAAGATGATTTAAACTCTTCTTTTATTTAACCTACTGAAGGAATTCTTGCTTTTGTTATATTCGCTATGTTCAATCGAATTTTTATACTTCAGCACGATATAAAAAAGAAGTATTAATATGTGAGTGTCTGTCAGTTTGAGAATCAGCGGCACATAGACAAGAATATTTGAAGTGAAAGGAAGTACAAGAAACCAGAATTAAACGAGGAGGTTTAGTAGTGAAACGTGGGTAACGAATACCGTAGACTTTCTTAACTTTACCCACAACTGTCGATCCATTAAGATGGATATACTTCTCTCTACCATTCTCACGTGTCCCACAACTAGTATATCGTTAATAAAAAAATAAAGTAAATAAGTTTCCAGTATCTCCACTACGAGTAACTAAGAACATAAAGGACATCAGAGCTCACCATGTAAATGACAGAAGTTCAAAGAAACTATTATCATTAAATAATTCATTACATAAAAAAAATAAACAAATTGAGTTAATTACAAAAGCTCCACACCCCCGAGGCGAGTGCTTCATAATACAAGCCATGACGCGGGTCGGGGTTAATATACTGTATATTTATATATTTTAACCAAAGACTCGCCTTACTACTACAACACGTATGGATCACTATGTGTAAATATCCTTATAACATGTTTCAAATCTTTCCATCTAATACTACAGGAGGAGTTAATGGTGTAAAGTATACATTCGCTCACAGTATTATAGACTGACGGAGCGACTGAAGTAGAGGAACTACCTGTAGAAGGATAAAGTGGAGGAGGGTCGGATTGACTGATGTGAGGATGGTCTGGCTGAAAAACGTACTGATAGAGAGAGATAAAACACTTAACCAGCTGTCAAACCACACTCCAGAATCCTCTACTCCACCTCCACCTCCCGGCACTATTTCCCAGTACTCCAGCACACTCCAGGACAGCCTCCACGCTTTGGATTTTAAAAAACTGTCAGTCTGATACGGAAAAGAGGATTTTCTACATCTGCACTACAAATCACAATGGCACGATTCTTTTGTTAAATGGAAAGATATGGGATTTACCGTATAGTTCGTTATATTCTGTCCAATTAATATTTCCATCTCATAAAAGTTTTTTCTAGATTACGTTTTGGTATTTGTTAAACGTAAATCACAACTGTTTGATGACTTTTCTAACAAAATTACGTACATAAATATATGGTTTTATTGTTGTTGTTAGTCGTAAATAAAACACTTCCTTCGATTTTTTTGTGAGGGGGGGGTTAATTTTAACTTTTACCGAAATCTACCAAAAATCTTCCCACTGAGCTGAATGACAAGCAACACGTAACCGAACTGCAGCTACTGTACCT